GGGTGAGCGGGCGATCAGACTTTACAAAGCAGGCTTTAATCCTGTAAAGTTGCCCCGCGAAATCCACACACACGAACACACACACCCCGAGTGCAGAGAAGATGAGTCGCAACACACTGCAGTGCAAACACGGTTAATGATAGCAATCTGATTACACCTTCCAAGAGACTCCAGACCTTTGGATTTCGCTCTGTGCTATTAGAGCTAAGTTAATGGGTGGATGAGGAAATGAACGGCTGCCTAAGTGAATGGGTGTGTAATTAAAGAATGGGCGATACAGTCAGTGTAATTAGCTTGTTTATGTGCGGCACAATGGATATGGGCAGGCGTTAAGGCCCTGCGCCTGCGGTGGCAGATGAGCAGAGAGAGAGAAGAGATAGCAGGAGGAGGAGAGGGTGAGAGGGGTGAGTGAGAAATGAATGAGAGAGGGAGAGAGCAAACTCCTTATTCAGGCCTTTTCTGCTCACCCGTCACATCAAGGCTCCAAATCAATCCTGCAAATTGGTTTGTTCCTCAACAAGGTTACCAAATGATGGAGGGATGGAGGGAATGAAGTGGAGAAGGAGAGGCAGAATATGAGATAGAGAGGGAATATGTGAGAGCTGTAACGAGGAGGAGATAGAGGGAGGGGGATGTCCCAGTGTTGACGTATTGTCTAATGCAGAGCTCTGTGTGCGTGTGTGTGTGTGTGTGAGAGAGAGAGCTGAAGGCCGACAGTGGGGTCGTTAAACGGTGGAGGGGTTGAAGGATCCGGTTGATTGTTGTGTGTTACAGGTAAACCGAACCGGCTGAGTTATGGCATCCTGGCTCTGTAACCACTTTATCCATCTGGCAAATAGGCATGTGCACATGTTGGAATGAGTTTGTCGGTGTGTGCGCGTGTAGCCACAGATGCTCCTGTAACCCTGTCACGATGAAATGTGGGGCCCATTTCCTCCCATTCCCAGCTGAGCCAGTGGAATTGGAGAGTAAATATATAAATAATAGAACAGATAAAAAATGGCTCACACTCCAAATGTGTTATTCTTCTCCTCTGACCTGATGTGTGTGCTTCTGTCTCTGTGTGTCTTTCAGGAACACTTCACGCCCGAGTGTAAGTTTAAGGAGTCTGTGTTTGAGAACTACTACGTCACCTACTCGTCCATCCTGTACAGACAGACCCAGTCGGGCCGGGCGTGGTACATCGGTATCAACCGAGACGGACAGGTCATGAAAGGGAACCGCGTCAAGAAGACGAAGGGAGCCGCGCACTTCCTGCCCAAACTCATTGAAGGTACTGCAGATTAATACATACTGCATAGGCTGCTCCAGAGGCAGGGGTCAGTGATAGGCCTTTTCCACCAACAGGAAACTGACTTGATGGAAAAACACTCTGAGTGTAATCCCGTAAGGCGCTCAGTGCTTATTTTGTCACCATCTTTTTTTCTTTTTCTTCCAAACATACTGGAAAAGTAAAACACATCACCTTCTGTACAGCAAAGACTTTTTGAAATTATAAGTCAGCATAAAATTTTAGAGCTTTAAATGTCAAAGATTTTATGAACTTTCTACATATTATTTAAGCATCAAAGTTCAATCTTGGCTTTGAAAACAGTAAATGGAAATTATATTATATTATAAATGTATGTCAAATCATAATCTGAAAAGTAATTAGCTGCCTGTCAAATAAAAAGTACAAGATTTATCTCTGAAATGTAGTATAGTAGAAGTATGAAGTAAAGTACTGTACATTTATTTTAATAAAGTAAAAAATATTTTTTTTTCTAATTTAATAAACTGTATCACATGCAGTCCAGTATTTACTATATTTTATGATTTTGATCTTTACATAGCACATTTGCAATGTTTAAAATTAGACTCTTTATTTTGTCTAAGATAAAGATTGTTGTCTGCAAATCGAATCCTATATTTAGAGAGGTGCAGCACAAGGCAGAGAGATAGTATTGCTCCCAAAACTGATTTTAACTAACTAAATGTTTTGAACTTGTGAAAGCTGCATTAATTGATTTTTTTGTGTGGAACACTGCCCCCAAATAACCCACAAACAATTGCGAGCTGGGCAGATAGTGTTCAGCGTTTTCCCTGCAACAGCTGACCAAACAGTGTAGCTGGGGCTGTAAAACCAAAACAATAGGCTGAAAGACGCTAAAACGCTATTTTACTAGAGGTGAGGTGGTGAGAAATCATGTGTTCGTCATTATGAATAACCCATGTACCATTATTTATATACAGATATGAATCAGTGCAGCTTTAACATAAAAGTTTGGGAGTAATCCAGCATCAGAATACTTTGTGTTTTCTCCTCTATATTATTTTGTCTTCTACTGTTTCTCTATCTATTTCAAGCTAACTTTTTATTTTAAATAAAGGAGGTTAAAGACATTTAAAAGGACACAAGGGCTAACAGAAATATAGGTCATTACTGCACATCTAAAGGCACTTATAGCAAGTGCTAGGTGCTAAAACTGTTACGAAAATTAGGATATAACCCTGCTTTAAGTAAAGTCTTACACCTATATTGTCACTCGTCTTTACCCACTCTGAACTGTTTGCATCCTTCTCCCTCCCCAGTGGCCATGTACAGGGAGCCCTCTCTACACGACGTCGCTGAGCAAAGCCCGCCCAGAAAAACGCCCAAGACCTCCAGTGACTCGCCCGTGCTCCAGAACGGCAAGAAGGACCTTCAATCCAAAACCAAAACCTCCTCCTCCTAGCGCTCACAGACACAGGTGGGAGGAATGGTGGAGGACACGGGGCACTGGGCACCAGTGGACACCTGCCCAGGGTTGTTAGGGCTATGTCCCCACACACACCTGCTGCCTGCAACACTGACCCCACGAGAACTCCGCGTACCACAATGCAATGGTGTAAAGTTAGAGAAAAAGAGCAGGTCCATGCAGAGTGGAGCTGGCCAATGGGAAGCCCCTTTTACCTTCACAGACCCCCCCCCCATCCACACCAGCCCTCCACCTTCTGATTTAATAACCTCTGTGATTATCGAAGCCTGGGATTTAAAAGCAATAACTCCATGAAGAGGTGAACTAGCATCGTATAGCATGTCACCACAGCGTGTTTAACCTGCTGGAAGGAAATCCCACACACCTTCTAGCCGCCATCAGCGACGTCCTTCCACTCAACCAAATATCCGAGCAGAGTCTTCCTGATTTTACCACAACGGGTGCAACGGTCTCATCCGTCCCTCGGCAGCGCACACTTTACAAATGGGTCGTGTTTTTATTTCCCCGCGGGGTTCCATGCTAATGTTAGCCTGACACAGAGCCATGCTAATGCGAGGCCGTCGCAGAGACCCTTGCAGACTTTTGTTCTGCAGCCATCTGCTCACTCTACATCTTCTGCGTGTGTCAGCGACTTTGTGCGATGGCCTGGATACTTGTCAGCCCTGCTTGTGTGTGTTTGTGTGCGAGTGTGTTCCCTTCTTCTTCCATTCACCTTTGGCGCGATTTGATTAGTTTGTGACATGGACTCAATTTTCCACTCGGCGGCACAAGAAAACCCCTCCCGTCCTCTCCGGCTCTGTTACTAGAGTCTGGGGCTGATCAGAATCTTTCGACCCTTAAACGAGGGGCCAAGAGCTCCCTCGGCACACTGCGTTACCACACACACACACACACGCTCATTACTACACTGACATTTAAACACGCACGCCGAGATGTGCACACACTTTAGCACCCTGATATCCATGAGCGACGACCGCAGAAAATGATCTCACGACTTAACACACTTAACACAATGACATGCATTACACACACTCAGAAATGCACATGTCGGCGCGGTTGTGAGTGTGTGTGCAGGTTCTGGGAGATGATGAGGATATCATCAGTGAGATGGGGTACTGATGGAGCCTGACTGTGTGGCTTGTGATTGCACAGCAATAGCTTTTTTCACTGTGGCTGGCCATGCGTCGCACAAACCCCTGAGGCCCACACAGTATCTGTGGACCCTGGATATTTCAATGTGGTGTGCTTGTCTAAAAATACTGATCTTGGTTTTATTTAATTATTGCATCCACATTGTGCTACTACCTTCTAATGAATTAAAAAAATATATAAGCTTTTGCATATGATAACAGTTTCTGCAGATTCCATGCTACCCCATCTCTGCCCCCATGCCAGAAATATTTACTGTATGGAACTGTATGTGATGGATTTTTAAAGGGGCACTCCACTTATTGTACATGTCAATGGTACAAGTCATTTGGAGTACTACTCAGCCTGTGAAAACAGTTGTATGGTGAATAGTTTATAGGAACTTTCTCAAATCTGAGGAAATTACTCCAGTGACAGCACTTGAGTAATTAAGCGTTGGGATTGAAGACCTTAAAGTCTAACTGAAAGACTGCAATGCAAACTTGAGTACAATACCTAAAACTGACACCCAAACCTGGGCTGTATCCGCATACAAAACCTATATTTTTGAATAATTCCATTCATTACTGACTGTTTGGTTGGAGATTCTGGTTTGTTATGCTAGTAGCCACTGATGTGACCTTGAGCTACTAGCAACAAGCTAGAGATGACTACAGAGGTCACTTCTTTCTTCCCGAGATTCTTTTCATTTTGTCTTAACGTGTAGTGTTCAGCCCTACCTAAGGGTGACTCAAGCAGCAGTTTATCAGATTAACCACAGCTCAGGAGCCACAGAAGGCTTCAATACAACTTCTTTCACAGAAGCAGTAGTACTCCCTAACATCTGTAAACAGACTTCGATGTGTAAAATTGGTGGTTTCCCTTTAATATATTACATTTGAAAATACCTAAGCCCAAAGTTTCAGCAACAAAATTTCCCTGATTTGGGTCTAATGAAAGATGCAATCACACTGCATTATGGGGAGTGTAAGATCTGGTGGTTTTTGTTTCTTTGACCCATACTAGGGACTAAAAGTCAGGAATTCTCGGCTTGTGCTCCTTTGATTTTAACCATTCTTTTTTTTAATCTATTTCTTGCATGTCCCCCGATGGTATTGAAGTGCAACACTAAATGAATGAAATGGTCCTTTAAATCTTTATTTACGCATGGACTAGTCAGCTGAGCACCTCGGCCCATGACATGCAACAACACCGTACACGCTTTTTTTCTTTTTTTTTTTCCACACATTTGCTTAAAAGATGCTAGTTTCTACCGCTTACAACTGACCCTAACCCTTATTTCATTCAAAATCCAATCTTAATCTGTTTCTAAATGTGTTTATATGAATCACCATGAATCTCTACTGAAGACTTTGGTTATGATGCAAAGGAATTCAAGCCTTCTCTACTTGTCATATTTGAAAGTTCATAGAATTACTGTGTTTTGTCAGGAGGAAAAATAAGAAACCAAAGTCATATTTAAATAATGTAACTGATAGTGGTCGTACATAAGACGGATGATGATTCTAAAAGAGGAAATATAAAGATAGATGTGATCCCATTTTTTTGTCAGCGATCTGATAGACCCTCAAGGTAAAGAAAGTAACTATTTAAAATATTTACCAGCCTCGTTCAGGAGGCCTTGTTTTGTGCGTTTGCATTTGTTCTTCCCATTCAGCACCAAAAGCAATCATTTTTCATATCAAACTTTCTTGGTACAATATGCCAGGCAGCGTAATTGTTTCTGCCTAATGTTTATGTATTGTGGGAAGCGAGGGAGTCCTGTGTGTTCAGGAGGCGGAGGCGAGGCGAGATTGATGTTTAGGGCTCAGAGAGAGGGACGCACCAAAGAAAAGAAAACGGAGAAAGAGAGGGATTTTTAGGGGAAATCATTTGCGGTGATGAGCTGAAGAAGAAGAGCTTCGAGAGGAAATTATGGTAATGCGGACAGAGTTCCCTTTAACGCACACACACACACACTTAAACACACTTCTCATTTCATGCATAATCCTCTGCTCCCCTGTAACCTCTGGTTGTAAATAATAATAGCCGATAACCCCTCGCAGAATGGAGGCGAGCCGCTGAGCAAAGTAATCTGCTACCTGAGAGATGAAGCTAACGTTACCTCTGCTTTCCCGCGGAGAGGAAGATAGGCGAGAAGGACGAAAAGAGGTAGCTTGAGAGGGAAAGACGGGAAAGGAAGTAAGGAGAAAGATGGGTGATATAACAAAGAAATTACTTGTGAGAAATAAAAAAAAGAAACTTTGAGTTCAATGAACTGCAACCCATCAGAGAGTTATTCCCATTATTATTCTTTATTTATTTGTTCTCTGTTAACACTTACACACTGAAGACCTTAATTAAACTGTTAAATAGACCCTCAGGTCGGCGTGTCTGACCAGTCACCCCCTCTATGGATCGCTAAATCCAGAACACGATGTTTGAGTGCTATTCGCAAAATAATTACACAAATAGAATTAAATCAGGCTTGTGCCGACTAGAATAGAGTTAGGACTGTCTGGGACTAGATATAGAGATTAAATGGAAGGAGGAGGAATTCAGCAAACAGACACAACCACGACTTCTGTGACTACTACTGTATTTTAAGGGCTGGGAAATCTATGTTGCAATATTTTCTTATGTTTGTGTCATGTTTGTTGTTTTTTTTAGAATTCGACTTTGAAAAGAAAAGCAGCTGTTAAAGCGCGTTAAGGGCTAAAATTTTAGTTAACAATTAATGAGGACTGTGGAAATAATGAAAAAAGTATGGCAATGTATCAATCATGCACACAGGAAGGGTTAAAGAGGCACACTCTGGTTTTAGATATAAAGGTCAGGCTGAGGGAGTTTTCTAAAGCTGTGTTCAGACAGAAAGTGAAGCAAAAGAAACCTGCGTCATTCAAACAGATTTGGCCACTGTGCTGTTTGTGCTATTGGTGTTCATTCAGGGCTGTGCCATTGTTCAGACGACCCATTATTCCAAAACCCCAACAGTTCGAAAAAAAGTCCATTGGACTGAAAGCTCATTTGTCCAACAGCCCATTATTCAGAAAACGGCCATTGCTCTGAAAATACTCACTCTTGGTATCACCAACTTATATATGTGACTTAACTAACTTATTTCATCCCAAACCATGATCATTTCCTAAACCTAACCAAGTAGTTTTGATGCCTAAACCAAACTGACTGTTTCACATCATTAACCACGTTTATTATTTTTGCCATGAC